TTGACTGTGAGGGTTACTCCATTTCTTCTAAGGGATTCCTGCCCACAGTAGTAGATTTAATCGTCATCTGAGTTAAATTCACCCATTCCAGTCCATTTTAGTTCACTGATTCCTAAAATGTCGATGTTCACTCTTGCCATCTCCTGTTGATCACTTCCAATTTACCTTGATTCATGGACCTAACATTCCAGGTTCCTATGCAATATTGCTCTTTACAGCATCGGACCTTGCTTCCATCACCAGTCACATCCACAACTGGGTGTTGTTTTCGCTTTGGCTCTGTCTCTTCATTCTTTCTGGAGTTATTTCTCCACTCTTCTTCAGTAGCATATTGGGCAACTACAGACCTGGGGAGTTCATCTTTCAGTGTTGTATCTTTTTGCCTCTTCATACTGTTCATGGGGTTCCAGCCTGAAACCTTCTCAGGTCCTGTCCCCTGAAGAAACAGAGAACCAGTCCTCTTTTACTTGCATGATTCTGTACTCTGTAACAGCACAGACAGCGCTTAGTAGAAAGTAATGGCTCTACCAGGCTTCCCTGACAGCTCAGTTGGTAAAGAATCTGCCTGCAATGCAGGAGACCCTGGTTCAATTCCTGGGTCAGGAAGATCAGCTGGAGAAGGGATAGGCTACCCACTCCAGTGTTCTGGCCTGGAGAATTCCATGGACTGTATAGTCCATGGAGTCTCAAAGAGTCAGACACGACTGAGAGACTTTCACTTTCACTTTCGCTGGATCTATTTACCAATATGTTCCTCCGTTAGGTTGTGTGGGAGGGGGCAGGATCCAATGTTTATTCATCTTTGCATCTTCGACACTTAAAATGCTGAGTGATCATTCATTCATTCAAAAATATTTCTTGAAGGCCTGCTATGCTCAAGGTACTGGGGATATAGTGCTGCCAACACAGAGATGGTCTGTGCCCTCAAAAAGCTTATAATCTATTTGGAAAGGAAGTCAATGAAACCATCGGTAACTGTGAAAGGAGCCCAGTAGTGGAGCAGGCGCACTGGGAGAGCAGAGCAGCAGCGGCCGCTCGTTCAGCGGTGTCAGAGAGGCCTTCTAAGAGCGGCCTGATGCTGGCTGAGGGTCAGGAGTGAGGAGGAATTAACCAGGAGTGCAGCCTGAGGGAGCAGCCCCCCAGCCACCACTGAGGCATGTCACTGCCCCCAGGGCAAGCCCCACCCCACTGAGTCCTGACAAGGCGGTCACGTGGCCGCACCCAAGTGGTGCATTAGAAATAAGTGCTCCCGAGGAAGCTGTGGCAGTCGTGGACACGTTCATCACCTTGACGGTGATTCTGCCCTCATATACGTTTGTCAAAGCTTATCAACTTACACGGGCTTCCCTGGGGGCTCAGATGGTAAAGAATCTGCGTGCAGTGCAGGAGACTGGAGTTGGATCCCTGGGTTGGGAAGATCCCCTGGAGAAGGGAAGGCTGCCCACTCCAGTATCCTTGCCTGGAGGATCCCATGGACGGAGGAGCCTGGGGGGCTACAGTCCATGGGGTTGCATGACGTCAGACAATACTGAAGCAACTGAGCACGCGGCATCAACTTATACATTTGCAGTTCACTGTCAATTATACGTCAATAAAGTTGTTTAAAAATAACAATGAGTGGAACCAAAGGAAATCAAATGTTTATTTAAAAGTAAGTCACTATCAGGACTTCCCTGGTGACCCAGTGGCTGAGATTCTGGGCTCCCAGTGCAAGGAGCCAGGGTTCAATCCCTGGTCAAGGAACTAGATCCCACATGCTGCATCTGAAGATTCTGTGTGCCGAAACTAAGACCTGGTAAAGCCAAATAAAATTAATTAAGTAAATAAATATTAAAAAAAAAAAAGACTCTGTGCTCCCAATGCAGGGGACACGGGTTTTATACCTAGTCAGGGAACTAGGTTCCCACAAGCCAAGTGTTATGGCCAAAGAAAGAAAAAGAAAACATGAGCCAAGGATTTTATATCTTCCTTATTTGTTTTAACATTTTTCATTTTCTCTTGAATTCTTTTACTTCACTTCTTTTTACTTTAAAAATTCACCTCTTTTTCTTCTTTCTAAACCACATTATTTGTGTGTTTATTTGCTTGACTTCCTGCCCCATACTTTTTCTTTGGCCACACTGTGCGGCTTGCAGGATCCTAGTTCCCTGACCAGGACTGAGTCTGAGCTCCCGACCCTGGAGGGCAGAGTCTTAACCACTGGACGACCAGGGAAGTCCCTGACTCTTTTTATTCTTTAAGTAATTTTGTATAGGAGTTAAGCTGATACTTTCTGTTGCTCATTTTAACCAGAACTTAATTTTCTGAAGGATTTGTTCAGATAGCTTTCCGATCTAGACAATGCTCTCTCGTTTGTTGCTTTGAGTAGTATTCAAATATACAGTTGGAGAAGGCAATGGCACCCCACTCCAGTACTCTTGCCTGGAGAATCCCATGGACGCAGGAGCCTGGTGGGCTGCAGTCCATGGGGTCGCTAAGAGTCGGAGACAACTGAGCGACTTCACTTTCACTTTTCACTTTCATGCATTGGAGAAGGAAATGGCAACCCACTCCAGTGTTCTTGCCTGGAGAATCCCATGGACCCGGGAGCCTGGTGGGCTGCCGTCTGTGGGGTCGCACAGAGTCGGACGCGACTGAAGCGACTTAGCTGCAGCAGCAGCAGATATACAGTGGCTTGCTCTCAGATCTTCCAGCTTCGTACCCCCACCCCACTTTTCTCCAGACCTTTTCTTCCATTGTCTCTGTTGACCCTGTCCTTCTCAACTTTGATTCGTCTCTCAGCAGTCTTTCTTCAGTATAGGACCTACCCTAAAAGGAAACCCTGATGGTCAGTTCGGAGAGTTCAAAGGGGTGCTGATGCTAAGTCACTTCCGTCGTGTCCGACTCTGTGCGACGCTATGGACTGCGGCCCACCAGGCTCCTCTGTCCGTGGGATTCTCCAGGCAGGAACACTGGAGTGGGTTGCCATGCGCTCCTCCAGGGGAGCTTCCCAACTAGGGATCCGTTATGTATCTCTTAGTCTCCTGCATTGGGGTGGGTTCTTTACCACTAGGCCACCTGGGCAGCCCGTGAATAACAACAATGTGAGAATTGCCCCGAACTGCAGATTCCTGGGTCGCGAAGATCCACTGGAGAAGGGATAGGCTACTCACTCCAACATTCTTGGGCTTCCTTTGTGGCTCAGCTGGTAAAGAAACCGCACGCAATGCGGGAGACCTGGGCTTGATCCCTGGGTTGGGAAGATGCTCTGGAGAACGGAAAGGCTACCACTGCAGCGTTCTGCCTGGAGCATTCCACGGACCGTACAGTCCACGGGGTCGCCGAGAGTCAGGCACGACTGAGCGGCCGGGCGCTGCCCTCAGTGCTTGCTTGCTGCGCGGGCCCTTGCCTTTGCCGCCACTGGGGGCGCAACACTTCTCTCAGCGGCAAGCGCAGCTGGCACGACTGGCCCGCCGGGCTCTCCCCGCGGAGCACCTCCCGCTCTCGCGACTGGCCCGCCGGGCTCTCCCCGCGGAGCACCTCCCGCTCTCGCGACTGGCCCGCCGGGCTCTCCCCGCGGAGCACCTCCCGCTCTCGCGACTGGCCCGCCGGGCTCTCCCCGCGGAGCACCTCCCGCTCTCGCGACTGGCCCGCCGGGCTCTCCCCGCGGAGCACCTCCCGCTCTCGCGACTGGCCCGCCGGGCTCTCCCCGCGGAGCACCTCCCGCTCTCGCGCTCCGCTGACGCGCCGCTCCCCTCCGCTCCGCAGGCGCCCGGAGCGAGCAGGTCTGGCGGCTTCCGGCGGTCATGCTCACTGCGTGTGTCTGCGGTTCGCGGGGCTGCCTTGCTGTGAGTGCTGCCCGTGATTGTTTGGCCGTGCCTACTAGTTACCGTTTGGGGTTCACTTTGTTTTGATGAGGGTTTGCGAAGCCCCCAAGCCAGGCCCGGCCGCCATACCCCCGCCGCGCGCACGCCGCCCTCTTAGTCTTGCGTGGATGGGCTCTGCCTACGCCGTCTTCTCTTCCCGCGCCGCAGTGACATGTGTGCCTGCCTGTTACCGCTCGATCCATGCACTCTGAGTGCCATGGGAGCGTAGGAACAGCGCCGGGCGATATAGTGGGGCTCAGAAAATGGTCGGTGAAAGAAAAGATGTTCCGTATTTGGAGGCTGGGAGAAAAGAGTCGGTTTGTGGCAGATACACAGAGGAGGATGCAAGTGGTAAGGGATGAAGCTGGAGGACTGGGCCAGGTCGCTGTCGGGTCTTGTAAGCCAGTTAAGGAGCTTGTCCTTTATACCGAAGGCAATGAAAATCCTTTAAGAGATTTAAACAAGGCCGTGATCTGATGGTCTATTTTTTGTTTTTTTGTTTTTGTTTTTTAAATTTTATTTTTTGGCCACAAGGCATATGGGGTCTTCCCTGACCAGGGATTGAACTCATGTCCCCTGTGTTGGAAGCACAGCCTTAACCACTGGACCACCAGGGAAGTCCCTGTTTTGTTTTGTTTTGTTTTGTTTAACATCACAAACTGCAGTAAACAGAATGGGCTGTGGGAGGCAAAACTGGAGATTAGACTCTATCGGAATAATCCAGTATTTGAATATAAATAATGAATAAAAAAACTGAATTGAAGTGACCTGATTTTCAGATAGCTTGCACAGTGGAACACATAATTAGAATCCAAAGGGCAATAGAATGACCAGAAGGATGACTCTCAAAAAGATGATAGTTAGCCTAGATAAATGAAAGCTCACTCATTCAGGCCTCTAATTCGTAACTGATGAACAAGTAAGGCTGGTTTAATTATAGCCTGTGGAAGATAAATATTATGTGATTTCACATATGTGGAATCTGGAAACTAATACAAATGAACATATTTACAAAACAGAAACAGACTCACTGACTTAGAAAACAAACATTCCTAAAGGGGTGGAGGGATAAACTAGGAATATGGGGTTAACAGGTACGCACCTCTCTACATAGGGTAGATAAGCAACAAAGATTTACTGATAGCACAGGAAACCATGGGGCTTCCCAGGTGGCTGCTGCTGCTGCTGCTAAGTCGCTTCAGTCGTGTCCGACTCTGTGCGACCCCACAGACGGCAGCCCACCAGGCTCCCCCGCCCCGGGATTCTCCAGGCAAGAACACTGGAGCGGGCTCCCATTTCCTTCTCCAGCGCATGGAAGTGAAGGTGAAGTCGCTCCGTCGTGTCCGAGTGTTAGCAGCCCCATGGACTCCAGGCTCCTCCGTCCATGGGGTTGTCCAGGCAAGAGTAGTGTCCCAGGTGGCGCTAGTGGTGAAGAATCCGCCTGCCAACGCAGGAGACGCAAGAGATGTGAGTTCAATCCCTGGAAGGCAGAATATCCCTTGGAGTAGGAAATGGCACCCCACTCCAGTATTCTTGCCTGGGAAACCCCACTAGAGGAGCCTGGTGGGCTACAGCCCATGGAGCCACAAAGAGTCAGACACGGTCGAGCAACAGGCACAGAGAACTATATTCAGTATCTGGTAATAACCTACAATGGGTAAGAATCTCAAAAAGAATGTATGTAGCTGAAACACTTTGCCGGACACCTGAAATTCATATATCATTGCTTTATTTTCATGCTTGGCTGTGCTGGTCTTTGTTGCTGTCTGTGCCTTCCCATTGCAGTGGCTTCTCTTGTCGGGAAGCACGGGCCCCCGCACACGTGGGCCCTCCGGAGGTGGGGAACCTCAGGTTTACTTGCCCCGTGACATGCAGGACCCTAGTTCCCAGACCAGGGGTCGGCCTGAGTCCCCTGCATTGGCAGGCAGATTCTTAACCACTGGGCCACCATGAAGGCCCTGTGCATCTGTGATTAGCACAGTGCCGCACATCAACTGCAGTTCAAATAAGAAAAGTAATAGCTTGTGTAACAGCAACATACGAAGTGACTCTATGATGAAGGTGAACAAAAAATGCTAACTTGCTTTTTTCAAAAACACAAATAGCTTGTTTTAGAAATTCACATCGAGGGCCTCCCTGGTGTCACACGGTGAAGAATCTGCCTGTCCATGCAGGGGACACGGGTTTGCCCCCGGTCTGGGAGCACCCCGCATGCCCATTCACCCCGGTCTGGGAGCACCCCACATGCCCATTCACCCCGGTCTGGGAGCACCCCGCATGCCCATTCACCCCGGTCTGGGAGCACCCCACATGCCCATTCACCCCGGTCTGGGAGCACCCCGCATGCCCATTCACCACGGCTGCTGGGTTTGTGCTCTCGGGCCCAGGAGCCGCAGCCGCTAGGCCCGGGCGCGCACCCCACAGCCGGAGAAGCCACTGCAGTGAGAAGCCTGGGCAGCCATGGAGACCCAGCACCGCCAAACCAGCCTGGGCAGCCACGGAGACCCAGCACCGCCAAACCAGCCTGGGCAGCCACGGAGACCCAGCACCGCCAAACCAATCGCACTGAGACAGTCTGAGCAGCCATGGAGACCCAGCACCGCCAAGCCAGCCTGGGCAGCCACGGAGACGCAGCACCGCCAAACCAATCGCACTGAGACAGTCTGAGCAGCCATGGAGACCCAGCACCGCCAAGCCAGCCTGGGCAGCCACGGAGACCCAGCACCGCCCAACCAGCCTGGGCAGCCACGGAGACCCAGCACCGCCAAACGAGCCTGGGCAGCCACGGAGACCCAGCACCGCCCAACCAGCCTGGGCAGCCACGGAGACCCAGCACCGCCAAACGAGCCTGGGCAGCCACGGAGACCCAGCACCGCCAAACCAGCCTGGGCAGCCACGGAGACCCAGCACCGCCAAACCAATCGCACTGAGACAGTCTGAGCAGCCACGGAGACCCAGCACCGCCAAAACAAACCAATCGCACTGAGACAGTCTGAGCAGCCACGGAGACCCAGCACCGCCAAACGAGCCTGGGCAGCCACGGAGACCCAGCACTGCCCAACCAGCCTGGGCAGCCACGGAGACCCAGCACCGCCAAACCAATCGCACTGAGACAGTCTGGGCAGCCACGGAGACCCAGCACCGCCAAACCAATCACACTGAGACAGTCTGAGCAGCCACAGAGACCCAGCACCGCCCAACCAGCCTGGGCAGCCACGGAGACCCAGCACCGCCCAACCAGCCTGGGCAGCCACAGAGACCCAGCACCGCCCAACCAGCCTGGGCAGCCACGGAGACCCAGCACCGCCAAACCAGCCTGGGCAGCCCCGGAGACCCAGCACCGCCAAACCAATCGCACTGAGACAGTCTGGGCAGCCACGGAGACCCAGCACCGCCAAACCAGCCTGGGCAGCCACGGAGACCCAGCACCGCCAAACCAATCGCACTGAGACAGTCTGAGCAGCCACGGAGACCCAGCACTGCCAAACCAATCGCACTGAGACAGTCTGAGCAGCCACGGAGACCCAGCACCGCCAAACCAATCTCACTGAGACAGTCTGAGCAGCCACGGAGACCCAGCACTGCCAAACCAGCCTGGGCAGCCACGGAGACCCAGCACCGCCAAACCAGCCTGGGCAGCCACGGAGACCCAGCACCGCCAAACCAATCGCACTGAGACAGTCTGAGCAGCCACGGAGACCCAGCACTGCCAAACCAATCGCACTGAGACAGTCTGAGCAGCCACGGAGACCCAGCACCGCCAAACCAATCGCACTGAGACAGTCTGAGCAGCCACGGAGACCCAGCACTGCCAAACCAGCCTGGGCAGCCACGGAGACCCAGCACCGCCAAACTAGTCTGGGCAGCCACAGAGACCCAGCACCGCCAAACCAATCGCTCTGAGACAGTCTGGGCAGCCACGGAGACCCAGCACCGCCAAACCAATCACACTGAGACAGTCTGAGCAGCCACGGAGACCCAGCACCGCCCAACCAGCCTGGGCAGCCACGGAGACCCAGCACCGCCAAACCAGCCTGGGCAGCCACGGAGACCCAGTACCGCCAAACCAATCGCACTGAGACAGTCTGAGCAGCTACGGAGACCCAGCACCGCCAAACCAATCGCACTGAGACAGTCTGAGCAGCCACGGAGACCCAGCACCGCCAAACCAATCGCACTGAGACAGTCTGAGCAGCCATGGAGACCCAGCACCGCCAAACCAGCCTGGGCAGCCACGGAGACCCAGCACCGCCAAACCAATCGCACTGAGACAGTCTGGGCAGCCACGGAGACCCGGCACCGCCAAACCAGCCTGGGCAGCCACGGAGACCCAGCACCGCCAAACCAGCCTGGGCAGCCACGGAGACCCAGCACCGCCAAACCAATCGCACTGAGACAGTCTGGGCAGCCACGGAGACCGAGCACCGCCAAACCAGTCGCACTGAGACAGTCTGGGCAGCCACGGAAACCCAGCACCGCCAAACCAATTGCACTGAGACAGTCTGAGCAGCCACGGAGACCGAGCACCGCCAAACCAGTCGCACTGAGACAGTCTGGGCAGCCACGGAGACCCAGCACCGCCAAACCAATCGCACTGAGACAGTCTGGGCAGCCACGGAGACCCAGCACCGCCAAACCAATCGCACTGAGATATGATTCATGGATGACATAATTAATCCAGTAAATATATGGTTCAGCATTTTTAGTATATTCACAGACAATGTGCAGCCATTACTATAATCAATTTTAGAACATTTCCATCACCTCAAAAAGAAACCTCATACCCATTCAATATCATCCTCCTACCCCTAATTACCCTTCTCCCCACGCTAAGCAACCACTAACCTACTTTTTGTCTCTATAGGTTATCCATTTCAGGACCTCCATAAAAATGGAATTATATATTATGTGGCCTTTTCTGACTGGCTTCTTTCATTTAGCATAATGCTTTCAATATACATTAAATTAAAATTTATTGAAATTGAAAATTATCAGTGCTTCATTCTTTTTATGGCTTCCCAGGTGGCTCAGTGGTAAAGAATCCACCTGCCAAACAGGAGATGCAGGTTTGATCCCTGGGTCAGGAAGACCCCCTGGAGAAGGAAATGGCAACCCCCTCCAGTAATCTTGCCTGGAGAATCCCATGGACAGAAGGAGCCTGGTGGGCTACAGACCATGGGGCACAAAGAGTCAGGTACGACTCAGCAACTAAACAGCAGCATTCTCTTTAATGGGCAAATAATGTTCCGTTGCATGTGTATACCACATTTGGTTTATCATTTTCTCTTTATAGACATTTGGGTTGTTTCCATTGTAGGGCAGGCAGAACCTTACTTCTACCCATCTCAGGTCCTCAGTTGGAGCTCTGTAACAAAAAGATTGACAGGAGAAAAATAAGTTTATTAACACATGCAATGCACATCACACATGAGAAACTTCATCAAAGAGTAGCTGGAAGCAGTGACTTCGAACTCTGGCTAACATGGCATCTCCAAGAAAAAGACAATAAATCTGTGGAGAAATGCTAGGACAAACGAAGAGGGTTTTAGGCCCCGAAGGGTGGCCAACTATGGAAAGATAAATGAATGGGAGGAAACCAATGTGGTAAGGTTTGTCTGCAGATTTTTCTGGTGCCATCTCTGGGCTGATAAGAGTCTAGACTGTGGAGTGTCTCTAGTAAAGGAGAATTTATATTCTGCCTTTAGGCAGAAAAGGAGGAGGGTAGAGAGAGAGTTTTTTCTCTGTTTGCTGTTTTTAATTGCCTTAAGCTCAAATATTTTTTTTTGGTCAAAGAGACGTGTTTTGAGATGACACTCTGGTTTCCTTCAGCATCTTTGGCTGTTAGGAACACCGCTGCGATAACCATTCATGTACAAGTTTGGGGGAGGATGCGTGTTGTCATTTCTCTTGAGTGCGTGCCAAGTCTCTCCAGTCGTGTCCGACTCTTTGCGACCCTATGGCCTGCAGCCCAGGAGGCTCCTCTGTCCATGGGATTCTCCAGGCAAGAACGCTGGAGTGGGTGGCATGCCCTTCTCCATTCTTTTGGGTGTATAACCAGAAATGGAATTGCTGGGTCATTTAATTTGGTCTTTGGCTCCATTAATAGACAGTGCTCAGGATGTGCTAAGTGATAGCTCCATCTGCCATCTGATTCATCGTCTTGGGCTACACATTTTGACAAACCAGACCATCTACAGTCAGAAGAAACAGGGCAACAGGGAAGAGATTGTTAAGCGAGTCACTTGAAGAACAGCGGGAGGATTTAGAGGCATTGATGGAGAAAAGAAAGCTAAAGAGGAAACAAGAGACATCCTCAAACATCTGAAGGGTTGTGACATAAAAGAGGGATTAACTGCAGGATAGAATGAGGCCTACTTGGTAGAAGTCACAGAAAAACATAATTGGTCTGAAGATTTTCCTCCCTTCCTTTCTTCTTTCCTTACCCCCTCCTTCTTTCCTTTCCAATTATTTTATTTTTAAAAATTAAGTAATTAATTTTTAAAAGGTTTTTATTTATTTCTTAAAAGTTAACATGTACATAATAGGAAACCAAC